TTAAACGTAGATATATATAACTTCGCTGTCAAAAAGGATTTGATTAGACGGGGAAATTATAATTATACTTGGAATGAAATTTTTTCTTATGATCTTAATTGGTCTGATCTGATAAATAATGTTTGGTCTTTGTGTATTTTATAACTATTCAAGTCAGGTATGATTTGGTCTGGTCTGATCTGGTTTGTTCTGGTCTAGGACTGAAAACAGTCCAAGTAAAACATCATAATAATAATATTACAACCTCCGTCCCATTGAAAGGTTCCTAGGTAAAATGACACGGTTATTTAGACAATAATTAAACAAGACAATTCAAGTATATTTTGAGAAATAATTTCAATAAGTATATAACATAACGGGTTAATGTTGATAATTGTGATGTTATAAATGTACTACCTCCTTGAATAGTTTTATTGTGAGAAATAAGAATAGTAAAAATTGTGTGGTTGAAGTTTATGCAAAGGAAAGAGAAATGGGCAGAACCACATTATAGTTACTTTAATGGGACGGAGAAAATATTATATTTATATTTAATTATTAATTTGTCATTTATGATTGTCTTTTCTATGGGATGAAAGTAGTATTGCTAATTACTCAATCCGTATCCTTCAAAGATTCCCACTTCTCTTTTTGGACGTCTCATATAAGGGTTCTCATTTCTATTTTAGGAAACAATTTACACTGATAAATGAGAACTTAATCAATAAATATTAAGGGGACACCAAATTTGCTGACTGGATCAGATCAGTACTAGATTTAAATAGACTAGGCATCGACAGTTCTAAATGCACATATATTGGATATCTACAAGACTAGTCCATGTCAGGCCAGTTCACACCATACCAAGTAAATTATTACTACCTCCGTCCCCTTTTAAATGTCCCGGAGGAGGGTGGCGCGGTTTTTAAGAAAAGTGGGTTTGTGTCGTTTATATTAATTGATAAAGTAAGAATAAAGTAAGAATAAATTAAGAGTGATTTTGAGCCACACAAACTTTATCAAATAAGGTATGAGACATTTAAATAGGGACATCTCAATATGGTAAAACAGGACATTTAAAAAGCGACGGAGGGAGTATTTATATAGCGAGATTATATGTCAGGTCGCATCACAAAAAAAATTATCTAAGTAAAGCATCCTGACTAATAGAGCGAGATTATTTATATTTGATGAATACAGATGATATTTTAGTAAGACTACAAACGAGAAAATAATTAACATTAAAGAAATTGTTCCAGATATGCGAAAAAAAAGTTTGTAAATTGAAGAATATGATTGTAATGTTTTTTTATATCTAAATATGAATAATTACTCTCATGTTTTTTAACATTACCAAACTTGACAGTAATTACTCCTATTTATAATTAGATTTTAATAATCCTAATAATTCATTGTATTTTATTCATTGTAATATTTATCAATTTCTTGTAGTTTCTAATATTTGGGATTGAAGTATTACTTCCTCCATTCAAGGGTAAGGGTTCTGTTTTGATTTACGATATTCGAATGATCATACAATTAATTGATCACTGTCAATAATAATATTTTTAGTTAATCAATTCATATATTCAATGACTACATTAAAAGTTTTATAAAGCCGTACAAAAAAAGAAATTCAAATTTGATATAACTTGGATATATAAAGTAAATGATTAACAACTTAGCTAAGTTGACCAAATAAATAGTGGACAGGAACCTTACTACGAGACGATTGACAATGATTTAAGTTGGATATATAAAGTTAAGGGAAAATCGCACTTTTGGTCCCCTAAATTAGATCACTATGTTGAAATGTCAGACACATGTTTCTGAGATTGTAAATGTCACCCCGAGTTGGCAGATGTGTTGTAAAAGTCATCATATTGAACTTATTGGTAGTCTAGAACTGGAGATATTATAAACGGCGGAGATAACATTTACAACATTTAATAATGCGGGAGTGATATTTACAATCTCAGAAACCCGAACTTGACATTTCAATGTGACTAATCGAGGGACCATTCCCCAAAGTAAACTATTCAAATTTCAAATTTGTTTGTCAATGAAGTCAGTTACTATATTTGGATTTATCAGTGTCTTTGGATCAATCACATACTCTATTACTCCCTACATATTATAAAAATTGCTAAAGGTACCCCAATTGGTACCGCAATTTGTACCCCCACCCTATTTTTGTGGCTCACAAAAGCACCTCATTAAAGTGGGGCAATTCATTTATTGAGGTGGGCTTTTGTGAGACACAAAAATAGGTTGGGGTATAAACTGGGATACCAATTGGGGTACCTATAGGAGGGTTGACATATTATACCCTTTTTAGTCATTTTAAAAGTTTCCAAATTGGAGCAATCAGTTCCATTAGAGGGAAGAGGAGAAACCGTAAAACAAAAGCTCTCGAGGAAGACTCAAATTTAAAACGTCTTTTTTTTGAGAGCCGGCCCTAGGGAAAATCCTAGGCGGTCATCCCCAACCTCTTTAAGATTTGATTTTCCAGTCTTTTCTTTTTCAATTAGCAAAATGTTTTGGAAGATGGTGACATTCTCTATGCAGTGAAAGATCGAATCAAAGGCTTTCTATGTTTTCTTTCTTTTTTAATTTGTATTTTCGAGGATTTTGATCCGGCTTCTTCATTAGCCGAGAATTTTGTCCGCCTCAAGTGAGCGTGTGGTATGTTATTCTCCTAACAATGTCTAGATGTTGTGTGTTTCTAATCCGTGTAATTGATCTGGTGAATTTTTGTTGTTCATGGTTGGTAAAGCTTTTTGAACCTTGTTGTTCTAATACTTCAAATATTCGCCCACCACCTGAACCACCGCCTCGCTCTGGGAAGAAGATGATGATCAATTGGATCTCCTTTTCGGTGGCTGGTCAAACCGATGCTTCAGAAAATTTTTGCACGCCTGATTTTCCTTTGTTGGTTGTCGGTCAAACCAATTCTCCCTTTCCGGTGACCGGTGAAGTCGGATCTTTTAGTTGTAATTTTTTTATTTTCTCTTTGGAGTAACAAGAAGAGCAACAAGGCTATTAGACTAGACTACATTATTGCTGGGTTAACGATCTTGAATGATTTACTGGATCTTTTCCGTTCTATGTCTCATCCCATTATTGTAGTCTTAGGCTATTCGTTTCTTGTATCTTTGCTATCGTTTAATAATAAATTGATTATTTGATTTAAAAAAAAAAACTCTTAGGGAAGAAATCGATCACGAGTTTATTGGATCAATTTGTTGGACTTCCACCAAAATTTCTTCTAAGCAAACCTTCGTTGCTTTCTTTTTTAACTCGATATTCTGAGTACGTGAATACGTGATCCAAAAGGACCAAAACACCTATTTACTTTTTAGATGAAGCTTCGTAAATTTATCAATATTATATTTTCTTTTTAATGTGAGAAGATGTTGCAAGTTGCAACTGATAAAAGTGTAAACACAGCATGTGATTAGGTAGGTTGAAGGCTTACATATTTATTTAACATTAAAATTAAATAAAAAACAATAAATAAAAAAAGCATGTGATTAGGTACCAAAGGAAAGGGAAACTCAATAACCCATAGCCCAAAATCTTAAGTATGCGTTTATGTGGGGACGTTATTGATCTGCGATGAATTTTTCAGCACATGGCAGGCAGTAATGACTTATGAGGAATTAAGGAAAGAGATGCCGCATTAGTCATTACAAATATGGCCTCCCTTCCACAAAATTCTTCTCAATTATCATTTTGGATTGTCCCAAAAAATTCTTCTCGTTTCCTTTTTTGGAAAGGTTTGTGTGGCCATCATTGATTTACTTTTTTCTTACTCAACCACAATCACACATTTCCACTTTATTCTCACTTTCTTAAACTCCGATCCAAGTCAAACTGGGAAGAATTTTCTGGGAGGGAGGGAGTATATTTTGAATCCAATGGACAAACGGACTCCGCTGGCTCCTTAGATTGAGACATGACACATGTTAGTGGCAACTCATTTTGTATCTCATTTTGTACCCCACACTATGTTTGTGGCTCACAAAACCCAACCCAATTAAATTAATTGCTCCATTTTAATGAAGTGTTTTTGTGAATCACAAACATGGGGGTATAAAATGGGGTAGTTTTAACATTTGTGCCTCAGATTTATGTGTCAGTTCCCGATGACATACGATTCCTAGACTGTGTGAGAGAATGAAACAAGTTACTCTCTAAGGAGCCCTAGCAGGTATCTCTGGTCTAAAAATCGTTCTAGGCGACCAATTAGTCCCCGCCTAGGCGCTAGGCGGTGGTCGGACGCCTTGATTTTCATTTAGGAGCTCCGACTAATTGATTTGCCATCTAGGTGAATTAGTTGGCTGCCTATGACGTCTAGTTGCCCGTCCAGGGCGTCTAATTGGCCGCCTAGGCCGTCTAGATTTTCCGAACATTAATTAATTTTTTTAATCTTAATTTTCTAAGGGATATACGTACTTTAAATTTGGCCACAAATCTAAATAAATGAAGTTGTAAATTAAGATAAAAACTATATTTGTTTGTATATATATACCTAAATATTATTATTTATATTTATAACATAATGAAGTTAAGTGATGACAAATCATATACTCCCTTCGTCCCGAATTATAAGATACTTTTAGGTTTACGATGCTTGACCGACGATAAAACAAACAGATCCCTGTCTGCACTCAAATTATTTTTAGGAAAAAATTACATATTCAGAAACTAAATTAAAACCGCTACAAAACCTGCAAAAATAATTCAAATGTCATAAAATTTTGATATATAAAGTAAGAGATTAAGAGTGATTTGTGTTGACCAAGTGAATAGTAAAGATATCTTATAAAATGGGACAGAAGAAGTACTACGTATGATTACATGTGATAATTCTACCATTCATGTTTAATTTGTTAATGTGTGTACATGTATTATATACACACAAAAATGCAATTTATATGTACCCGACTAGACGCCCACCTAGCCATCTAGGTGCTAGGCACTGGGTTGGCGCCCGATTAGCGCCTAACGCCTTTTAGAACATTGGCAGGTATATTTATATTAAGATAGTAATGTTAAAAATACATAAATAACCCTAGTCTATTAAACACCCTCAAACTGTGCGGGAGATACAATGCGCAAGTTGTCCTTTAAAAAATGAAAACGTTGACTAGGAAGACTCTTAGTAAAAATATCTGTTAGCTATAGATGAGTAGGAACATACTGCACCAGTAAATCACCATGAGCAACTCTCTCTCGAACAAAGTGATAATCAATCTGAATGTGATTGCTCCGAGCATGTTGAACATGATTAGCAATCAAGTAGGAAGCGAAGATATTATCACATAGTAAATTAACAGGTACCGTGATGGGAAATCCAAGCTCAAAAAGTATGGACCAAATATGCAGTGCATCCCAAATTGTATAGGCAATAGCTCTGTATTCGGCCTTAGTGGAGGACTTGGACATTGTCGACTGTTTCTTGGACTTCCAAGAAACCAGATTGGGACCCAAGAAGATAGCAAATCCAGTAGTAGAACGAGAGCTATCTGGACAGCCTGCCCAATCTGCATCAGAGTATGCTAACACACATGTCGGTGTAGTCGAAGCTTGAAGCCAGAGACCATGATCACGAGTGCTCTGCAAGTATATCAAAATACGCTTGACTGCAAAAGTATTACAAAAGTAATATCAGACACTGTCAAAGTTAAATATTATAACACACCTACCATTATGCGATACTCTGTGGAGTCTGTTAGTAACTCGCCATCAGTGGGGGTCAGTGTAGTGCGTGATGCTAAAGAAGTACGAACAGACTTGACAATGTGTAAGTGAAAACGAGCAAGCAAATCAGTGACATACTTTTGTTGAGAAAGAAATAAACCTCTAGAGGTACGAGTAGCCTCTATGCCTAAAAAATAGTGTAAATTTCATAGATCTTTCATGGCAATGTGATGAGAAATAAGAGAGATAAAATGATTAACAACAGTCTCAGAGGTAAAAGTAATAATAATATCATCTACATATAATAATAAATAAATGATTGAATTATTATGGCTATAAATATATAGGGAATGATCAGACTTGCTGCAAGAAAAATGATGTTGAAGAAGAAAGCTACTAAACCGATGAAACCAAGCCTGTGGTGCTTGTTTAAGACCATAAATAGCCTTACGCAAGCGACACATACATGTGATTAGGAAACTAAGGATGAATAAAACCACAAGGCTGGCACATATATACTTCTTCAGTGAGATGGCCGTGTAAGAAGACATTTTTAACATCAAGCCGACGAACCACCCAACCAAAAGAAATAGCTAAAGTGAGAACAATACGCACAGTGGTGGGTTTAATCACCGAACTAAAAGTTTCAGAAAATCTATACCGACATGCTGATTAAATCTTTGAGCAACTACCCTAGCTTTATGCCGCTCCACTGTGCCATCAGAATGATACATAGTATTTTGTTTTATAAATCCACTTACGCCCGACAATATTCTTAGAGTTGTCAAAAGGAACAAGATCACATGTACGGGTAGTAATAAGTGCATTAAACTCCTCAGCCCTAGCCTCTCTCTATTTTAAATTTTTGTTTGCCTCAGAAAAACAAGACAGGTCAGTGCCGATAACATCAGTGTGTAAAGAAAAAATACTTTTTGGTTTAAAAATTTGGGACTTAGCACGTTTCTGCGTGGGATGGGAATTGGCAACTGTAATGGGCATTGGAGCACTAAGTGGGAAGCTAGCCAAGACTGTTTCGGCAGAATGGGACAAGGGGGACGCTGACTGGTGGAGAGGGCCGGAGGAAGGCGACTGGGGTTGGCTTGATTCCGGGCTTGGGGTAGAGGAAGGTGACAGGTTGAGGCTTGATTTCGGGCTTGGGGTAGTGGAGAGTAAGTGGTGGGGACTGGGCGGTGTACTAGGCCGTGGGCTGGCCGCAACAGGTGGGGTAGAGGAAAAAGGTGTGGTGGTCGGCGTGTTGGCTATTGCTTGCTGTGGGAAATGAGTGCTAGAGCAGGGCAGCCCCCAAGAGAAGAATTGGCACTTGAAAAAGGAGCATCTAAGAATCTGGGAATAACCCAATGTTGGGGAACAAAGGTAAACGACACCGTACCGGACTTAAAGGGATAAATATTCTCTTGAAACCTAACGTGACGACTGATATAAAACCACCTAGTAATAGGACCAAAATAATGATAGCCCTTATACCCAGATGCATAGATAGCCATTGTTAGATGCACACCTCAGGAGTTCATGTTGCCAAGAATACAATGGATATATAAGGAGCATGCAAGAAAATTCAAAAAAAAGGATGACACCTCATCCCTGAAGCCCCCCAAAACCGATCAGATAGTTACTTAAACGGACGAACGATGTTGACCTTTGATCTCACTCTGATGGAAAGAGAGTGAGTTTCATACCAAGTTATTACTTGGAATTGAATCTGAGACATCTCCTTTGTGACCCCTTTTTCTGTCATGTGAGCAAACAGAGAAACGGACAGACAATATAATGGAAAATTTTGAATCGGCAATAGAAGTCTTATTTTTATGTTTTTTGGATTGCCAATCCAATTACTACTCCAAGGCACTAACAAATCCAAAACAATATAATAGAAACAAACACAGATGTACACTAAAAAGTAAAAATAGAAAGGAAGTGACATGTCACTTTTTATTCATATTCTTTTCAACGGCGTTCGACGGAAACCCTCAAATGAAAGCACATGTCCGACTTTGTGATAAATTAACCTTATGTCCTTATATGAAAACGGCCAAAACCACAAACACATTAACTTTACTTTTCCTAAAAATTAAATACTAAATATTCAATTTATATGCATATGTAAAAACTCGGCAGATGTAAGTGGTTGTCTTATTTTCTAATAATAAATGAATGGTTCTCTCCTCTCTCTAGAGAGAGACAAACCCTGCGGCCGTCTTCCCTCTTTGTAGGGGATGAGATTTTCCGAGATTTTCCGCCGCCCCTATCAATATGGGGTAGGAGCGACAAATTATACTGCTTTTAAGTGTTCTAACGCTTGATATTGCAACTACGTCAGAGGAGATAACGTTGGCGGATGAACGAGCTGCGGATGGGAGGTTATATCGAGGCGGGATTGTGAAGCCTTGGTCGGCCATTCTGACGGTGGAGGAGGTTGTATTCACCCATATTTTAAGAGCTCGTCCTCCTCCGGAACCACCTCCATACCAGGAAGAGCTTTGTGAAAAGATTTTATTTCAGTATTATTTTCTCTTTAGTAGCACTTGTTTCTGTTTTACTCCGAGTAGATTTGGTTTGAATGTTTGGATTTTTGGAGTTCTTTTGATAGGCAGGTTTCGGTTTCGATCGTTTTAGGCCTAAATTTTCCTGTTTCAGGTTTAGTGAGTCATGTTGCTTTGTATGTGTTCACGCTAGGATCTGTAATTTCTGTTTGAGGTTGTCTTGTATGTGTTCTCGATTTTAAAATAACGACAGCTCTTTTATGATAAAAAACTTGGTATATGTATATATAGAATTTAATTCGCATAAAAAGTATTTTATATGTGAAAATAAGCACTAATATAATTTTGGCTACTGATGTGAAGAAAGGTGAAAGGTATCAAATTTTAAGAAACGCGAAGTCATTTATCAAAATATATAGTAAGTTTATATGTAGAACATAAAAATGTCCATCTAAGTACAAAATTAAATATGTGTAAGTTTCTCCCATATGATAGTTTTTTAGCATTCATGTGTACTTAAATCTATAAGCTATCTTATTGCCCAAAAAAACTATAAGATATCTTATCATAAGCATTTGCACAATATTTTGTCTTCGTGCTATTATGATTAAAAATTTCATCTAATCAAACAATTAAGTAATACAAGGTTACATTTATCATCATTTTTTACGGGACTCTATTTTTACTTGAATATACCTATTACTCTATTAGTGTGTAAACACGCGTTGCACAATTAGGATAATGCCTTTTAGTATTTGTATAATAGTTGCCGCATAACAGTGAAAAATAAGGCTTTGGTGATAGGGGCCAAATGTTTAGATTTTCATATACTTCCTTTTTAGTTGCAACGTATCAAATTATCAATGTTCACATTTGTCCAAAATACACAAATTTGACCATTAATATATATTATTTCTTATTAGTAAAAATTCAAAAGAAATCACATTTTAAAAATTTGAAAGGAGATGGCGAAATTCAGCAATATTTTTTAAAAATTGAATTTATTATACATTAATAAATATTGTATATTATATGTGTGGGCGTATTTTTTGTGGTGTGTATGTGTACATAGAGGTGAGGACGCTGAGGTCAAGTGGATCATAGTCTCAAAAGCTAAAACATGAAAGATTTGCATGATACAAAATAATACGGAGTATTTCTTTCATATTGAAGAGCAATGAAAGGATCACATTCTATATACCCATATAAGAAGGTGCTCTTTCTCAAAATTATGTTAAATTAGGAAGCACTGCCAAAATTACATCCAAGTAGAAACTTGGAAGCACAAATATAAAGAATTGTCTTCACACTACGTGTGACATCAAGAATTATATTGAAGAGTGAAGTCATAAGAATGATTTCGTTTTTGTAACGTTTTTGTAAAATGGAGTATAACATTTGTACATTTTTGTAGAAGGGCATTAAACACATACGGAGTACAGAATAACCTGCTTTGTAGTTAACGGAGTTCTATATTAACTCATACATGATACATCCAAGGCCGGCCCAGAGGACGTGCTTCTAGCCCAGTCGCACAGGGTCCAAAATTTAGGGGGCCCAAAAAATAAAATTTGTAGTAGTAGTCATCCATCTGCTACTAGCCAGCCCAGGTTCGAAGGAAGAAAACAACAGAACGAAGGGAACTTACGGAAGAGTAGAAGACTGAAGACGGGAAGAGAAAGCTCAAAACCGAAACTGCTAAAGCGACCAAGCCGACCACCGCCGCCAGCCACACTTCACCTCCCGCCTCCTAGACCACGACCGCGCCGACGCCCCACCAGTCCACTGTCCAGGCTGCTACCACAGTAACCGGTAAGCAACTATCACCAGATTCACCACTATGATTTTCTGATTTCCTTGAATTGCAAATTAGTGAAAGGGGTTTGGTCACAAATATTACTAACTAAAAGGAGTTGGACATAATGTTTTACATTTTGGACATAATGCAATTACATTTATGGTTACTTTTTGGTTGTAACCAAAAATAATGCAATTACATTTATGCTTTTTAATTGTCAAATAAAATTTTATTAACCAAATTTTTTAAAACTTGTACAAGATTAGGGGAGAATTTCAATAATTGATATGTGGTGGTAATTATATTTCCAAAGAAATACCCATCTGGTCATGAGAAGCTTCAAAAGAAAAAACTTGAAAAGTTAACCTTGTCTCAATAAGGAGTTCTTGATAAATTTATTACTCCGTATTAAAGAAGCTAGAGAGGTAAAAAAAAAAGCTAGACAGGTTTAAGAGGGTGAACAATAGGATGTAGGCGTTGAAAATAATGTTGAAATACCAGATCATCGTGGTAATGACGTGGCTGAGAATCCTGATGATATAGTGGACATCGTAATCAATGTTTTAAAACAAAATACTTGTGTTGGAACTTGGAAAAAGGCCCAATTTTTGTTGTTGTACCGGGTCCCTATTTTCTCAGAACCGGCCCTGGATACATCCATTATTTATAACAAACTTAAACTCATGAAAACGTCGTCACCATTTTACATTTTGAAATTTATATGAATACGCATGCATATAAAATTTTGTGTGTGAAATTTGGGCACATATAGATTGATGAAATTAAGAACTTTACATATAAATAAGTATACTTTTCATGAATTTCCATGTGTTAAATAAGATTTCATATATTTTTTAAAATTTGAACACTTTAATTAATATTTTCATGTGATGGATAGATAACAAATTAATTTCTAAACAGGTTACTTTTATGCAAAAGTAGAATTAATATAATATATACTACGTATGTAGTACTTTTACTATAAAAACCAATAGATTTCTGAATTAAGTTTACAACCAAAAAGCATAAATGTAATTGTATTATTGTCAATTAAATTTACTGATCTGAAACTTTAGTGTGATTAGTTGATCATTTTATATACTTGGTTTATATAAAAGAGACTTAAAGTACCTCCTGATCATGAAAAATGCTCTCCGTATGCAACCACAAGTTTTACTCAGTATTACCCAATTTGTTTTAGTGGATAGACTGTAATAAAAATTACTCACAACATGATATTAACTGCTGAATAGAAACGGCAAGATGCAACTACCATTACGAAAACAAAGTAATATACCTATCAACAAAATTTGGACCCTGCAAATGCGAATATTCAAATTTTCCATTGTGTGGAGTAGATATACTGGCACACAGGGGCGTATCTGGCGTGGGGGCAGCTGCCCCCACTCAACCTCCACCCAACCCCATTATATATATATATATATATCAAATTCTATTTGTGTGTATATATCATTGTTTTGTGTAAAGCATAATAACGCTTAAGCTCCTAACTTAGCAAAGTGAGTTCTGTAGCCAAGCGGCTGAAGTGTTTGATGCTCCGTTACTTTGGCCAAGTTCAAATCCTCCTGGCCACTTTATTGTAGTTTTTTTCTTTTGGAACTGTTTGATATTTGACCAAATTTAAGATTCAATTTAATTTTTTATTGTAGCTAATAAATGATACGAAGATGTACATTCAATAACATCTTTTCACACTTAATATTAAAATTTGTTTATTTGTAACTTAAATCACTTATAATTACATATTTCATCCATTTCTTATGTATCTTTGTACTATAGAATGTCTAAACCTAAGATCCAAATTACTTTAAAATGATTTATTAGAATGTAACTATTAAATGATACTACATCTGTTCCATAATACTGCATGTGTTCCAGTAAACATACTCATATTTTCTTAATAACTCCTTACTGTCCGATTGAAGTTTTAGCTAAAATTTGGTATGAGTAAACTATTAAAGATAGTTTTAATATCAAGAGAACGTTGTGCGGTTATTAAGAAAAATGTGTTTATGTTGTTGATATTGAATTGATAAATAAGAATAAAGTAAAAATTACTTAGAGCCACACAAATTTTTACCCAATTTGATATGAGAGAATCTTAGTGGGGTTTCCTGAAAATGTAAAATGAGACAATCTTAGTGGGAAGGAAAGAGTATGTAATTTCAATCACATCTTTTCGCACTTAATAATAAAACACACTTGTTTATTCGTAACTTAATTAGTTATAAACTTATAATTACATTTTCCATGTGTTTCTTATAAAAAATCTCTGTTCTAAAAATCGTTCTAGGCGCCCGATTAGTCCCCGCCTAGGCGCTAGGCGGTGGCCGGGCGCCTCGATTTTCGTCTAGGCACTCCGACTAATTGGTTTGCCGCCTAGGTGAATTAGTCGCCCGCCTATAGCACCTAGTTGCACGCCTAGAGCGCCTAATCGGCCGCCTAGACCGTCTAAATTTGTTGAACATTACTTTACTTTTTAATTTTAATTTCCAAATGATATACGTATTTCAACATTAGCCATGGATATAAAGAAATGTAGTTGTAAATTAAGATAAAACTATACACGTTTGTATATATTCCTAAATTTTATCATTATTTATATTTATAACACAATGAAGTTAAGTGATTAGTTATCATATACTACATATGATTAAATGTGATAATTCTATCTTTCATGTTTGTTTATGTATATGTATATATGTATTTTATACACACAAAAATACAATATTACTTATCATATTTATGCAAAAATATAGATAAAAATGCAATTTCTATGTCTCCGACTAGTCCCCGACTAGGCGCCCGCCTAGCTGCCTAGGCGCTAGGCGCTGGGGTGGCGCCCGACTAGCGCCTAGCGCCTTTTAGAACATTGTAAAAAATTATTTTATTTTTTAGTAAATTGTTAATTTTTTAATTAATATTTATTTTCTAGAAAACGTGTGATAACGTAAGTGTAAATCTGCCTCCACTGGCCGAATTTTCTGGATACGCCACTGCTGGCACGTATGATAAAAGAAGTTGTACTGCCACGTGTATCCATTATCCGCAAACGGCGATTAACAATAATGTTAAAAATCACGTCTATTGATATGTATACATATAATTACGACAGGTTATGCAATTTGGTGCCACATGTATGCACGTCTATTGCCTTCACACGTTGTCCGGTAGTTACTTTGAGGTGGGAATAGTTATTGCCTTGGTTTCCCTTTTTACATTAGTATAGATAAGAAATAGAAAAGCATAAAAATCACGAATAAGTCCATTACAGACTTACAGTTATTGAGAATGAAGGGGTCTAATAAATTAACATTAGTCCCTTAACATTATAAGCATATACACATAATCTATCTTTACCAATTACCAAATATTAACTATTCTAACACCACCACCACGGTTATATATTACATATGAACTTAAGAAATCAGAAGACCTCGTTGTCTTGCAAAATATACTAACGTAATTACATGGATTGTAAGTTCAATAGGATTTGTTATTAGGTTTGTAGGTAGAGAGAAAGTAAGTGCTCTATGGCCCAACATGACCAAAAAGACTACCTATAAAATAATTATTGACATGCATAACCGATTTTGTTTACAACTTTAGTGCCAACAATTTTTTTTAGCTTTAATGTTGGATGCCCAATTAGGGCTATCTAATTTCATATTGGGAGGAATGTTCATGTCAGGCCGGCCTGACGGGCTGTTCCGTCCGGCCGAGCCCGTTTGGGAACCTTCCCGGTGGAATTTTTTGATGAAATTTTTTGAGCATGTTCCTCATCAAGTCTAGTTTGTTCATACCAAATTTCAGCTCAAAATTCGATCGGGAAGGCATTCAAATCATTTTTTGAAGTTGACTGCAGTTTTATATGTATATTTTGACGCAGTCAACTTCAAAAAATGATTTGAATGCCTTCCCGATTGCATTTTGAGCTGAAATTTGGTATGGACAAACTAGACTTGATGGGGAACATGCTCAAAAAATTTCATCAAAAAATTCCACCGGGAAGGTGCCCAAATGGGCTCGGCCGGACGGAGCATCCCGTCAGGCCGGCCTGATGAGAAGAGCACTCTCATATTGGAACCTTATTCATTTTATGTCTAAGATATCACGTTATTCAATACTAATTGAACAAATAACCTTAGAGTCAATATATAATCGGTGGATGGGTTTAGTCTCAGTGACATATGAAATATATAAAATACTTTATTTTTATTTTATACGAGCACAAATAAATGAAAGGAAATGAAAAAAAATTGGGTTACAACCATTTAGAAAAACAAAGACTTGGATTAAAGCAAAAAATATTTAGATCATGAATAGAGAGGCGGATAGGACTCATGCTCACACCTCCATATTCAAATGGTCGCAACAATATTATATGAAAAAGGTAACAGTGGTAGTAAATAATGTAAGAAAAAGTAATATAGACAGTGGAAAAGTATGAAAAAGAAAATAAAAAATAGAAAAAGTAAGATTATTGATTATTAAAAAAACAATTGACTAAATGGGGAACTATAACAAAACTTATATCTGCGCCAGTCCACCCTCAACAAATAAATAAGGGGAATTCTATCACAGCCACATAATTACTAATTACAGTCACAAAATTAAAATTAAAAAAATATTTATTTATTTATTTAAATGTCCATTTTACCCTTGGCTATCCTTCTACCCTTTCACGTATAGAATTACTCATCATGAGATCGATGGAGAGGCCCTCGTCGAAGAAGCTGAAGATCTAGCGCATGTGTCTACTCGTTCATCACTGCCAAGCTCAATGGAGAGGCCCTCGGCGACCTGTGAGTGACGGCGCACACCTAGGGAAGGCTCCCACCAAGTGGGGAGCGACAATTGCCGATCTGCCTGGGGTTATCCACAACCACACAACAACCGAAAGTCAGGGGTAGATAAGATATTTGCAATTGTTTTATTTATTAAAATTACTTAAAGTGTCTATAAATAGAAATTTTGTGGCTGTGTATAGAATTTCCCATAAATAATATGGAGTACTTGATAATTGTCGAAGCGTGTCATAAGCCAGTCCAAAGGCCCAATTAGTTTTAGAAATTATTGTTGATGCATGTCACAAGCCCGTCCAAAGGCCCAATTAGTTTTAGAAATTCCCTCATCCCAGTTCTGACCGCACCTCCTGTGGTACGCCGTGTGCCGCAGCTTCACGCTGGAATAGAATTTCGATTGCCGTCTTTCTGACTCACTGCTGAGCTAGGTAAACTAATTTAAAATTTAAGTTACTTATTTTGTTCAAAATAGAGACATTTCAGATTCAACCAGTGAATTATTATGATATGTGGTTCAGAAAAATTTCAGGTTCAATTATTTATTGATAATCTTTTGTTCAATTAAAAAAATTGCAGTTTTCTGAAACTTAGGAGCAAAAGAAATGTAAAAAGTTCTGCAAAGCCTTCTTTAATCGATCATTCTGACTTCAGGTCTTTATATCTTTTCTTTTAATCTTTAATTCAATCTCATGTCTTCATTTTATAATCTTGAATTTAATCTCATTTTTTAATTTCTGTTGTTCTAACAAAAGCACTTGTTCAACTGTTCATTAATTTAAACCCAACTTCAGATGAGAAGATGTGGTAAAATCTGGTTTAGGTTAACGTGCTAAAAATTTAGACTGGGTTAGAACTTAGTAAAAAAGATTAAGTTTCTATGGCGTGTAAAGACAGTTACTGAAATACTGTGAGAATTAACTTAGCATTGCACTGTTTCCAACTTGTATTGCAAAGACTGTAGATTAATACTACCTCAGTCCCTTAAATCTTTGCCATCATCTTTGACTTTTCAAGTCAATGGTGGTAAAGTTTGGACCATGATTTTGATTAGTGTAATATTATGAAAGTTATAAATTTAATACTTTTATGAAAGTACTTTTTACATAGAACATTTTCATATCATTTATATATTAGAAATAATTTCCTATAATAATATATAATTCGTCAAAGTTGAACATGATTACCATAAAATTCAAAGATGGCAAAGTTTTAAGGCATGGAGGGAGTATATCAAATATCAATGCATTTTTTTAAAAAAAAATTACAACTCTGTTGGCAGCTTTTTATAAGTTATTTTTAACAGGAGCAATTAGCATCTTTTATGTTTGCTAAGCATATTCTCTAACTTCTTTTACTTAACCAAGAAGTCGGATAACCATAAATGTTTCTAAAAAACTTCTGAACATGAATGGTTGCCATGTACCACAGCTCATTCTCACAACAATGTGGTTGGTAACTTGGTGAGATCAAACAATTAGGCCTCATGAATCACACCTGTATATGTTTAAAAGTTGTTGGTTGTTTAACTAAATTTTAAAATAGTATTTAAGCATTAACCCCGTTTTTTTTTTCATATGATAGTTACTACTTACTTGTGAGGATTTTTTTAATATGTGCATCATAGAAACCTCTGGAACTGTGTTATAATATAATTTCTGTAAATTCTTTTACATGAATGCGGGATCTTTAGAGAGCAGTTCTTGGACAGGCGTGGGTATTTACTTACTAGATATGTTGTTAGTTAATGTTATTTCTTCACTAGTTGTTGCTCAATTTATCTAGGACAGGGTGGTTATACAGCAGTAGAAGATGGTGGTTAGGCTGAGATTGTCAAGGTTCGGGTGCAAGAACAAGCCCTTCTATAGAGTGATGGCTGCTGATAGCAGATCCCCCAGGGATGGAAAGCATTTGGAAGTTCTTGGCTATTACAACCCGTTGCCAGGTAACCCTTACCCCCCCCCCCCCCCCCCCGCTTATTTTTATTGCAGATAGTTTTTTTTTGCAAACATTATTGCAGATAGTTAATTGTTGGATTTGTTGTTGCAACTACATGATAAAAATGCCTCACTTCTGTAATAATTGCGTAGTTAGTTTTAATCCTAAAGGCATTGTAAGTAGTTATTCTATTGTCTTGAGTCCTGTTCTAAATCTTACAGTCACATTGTTTCACCAGAGGATTCATATAATTTTTTAAAATATTAATCTGTTGATTGAAAGGCTGTAGTTGTGAAAAAGATGTAAACTGACAAGTGACAATTGTTTGGGAACCCCCAGCACTTCTATGTATTCATCTGTTGATTGAAGGGGAGTAAACTGACAATAGTATTTGAACTACACCAGCACTTCATTTTTCGGGGGTAAATCTGTAATCTAACTTATTTTACATTTGTTGTACATTGTTTGATTTTTTTAAGTGTTTCACATTTTAACATTCTGAAGTGTGGTTATGAGCCGAGCAAGTTAGCAGGAAAGATAAGTTAGCTCGTCATTATAGTTACCATCATCATCACAAATCATTTCATCATCGTGCATCTGTGATATTTAGAAATTGCATGCTTAATCTTGGACATTTGGAATGTGCACAACCTTTAAAGGATATGAAATCATGAATGTTCTTATGGATTTTGGTGTTATGCTCTTTGCAGTTTCTTATTGTGACTCATTAGGTTACTGACATTGCATATATTGATTTATTTAGGGCAAGATGGTGGGAAACGAATGGGTCTTAATTTTGAAAGGGTGAAGTAAGTGAATTTACATTTACTTGTTCTCATGCACTTTATTATGACTTCTGGGTTCGTTGAGAGTCAGATTAGGAGTTGTATTTAAGGATTTTGAGGGATGGCTCTGGACAGCTAACTTAACTATATCTCAATCATTAGATTTAAGATCAAATGGTAATGATGAATTTAAACTGCTTTTTATTGAAATCCAAATCATACTGTCCAGATTGGAAATTTGATACCTTTTATGTAACTGAAGAAAATCTTTGGTAATAGTTACTTGTATCCTATTGCTAAGCACACAGTTAACATAACTAGGTTTCTAATACCTTTTCTCTAAATGCAATCGGGCCTGGTCTTGAGCATTGGTGTGACTTGTTCAGAATAGTATTGTCTCTCTACTTAGAGTCCTCATTATAGTGTTAGACCTTGTCATACTGATAGTGGAATTTGCTATATTTTGCACATAATACACACAGATATTGGCTATCAGTTGGTGCACAGCCATCGGATCCAGTTCAGCGTCTTCTTTTTAGAGCGGGCGTGTTGCCGCCTCTGCCAATGATGGCCATGGGACGAAAAGGTGGTCCCCGAGACAACCGTGAGGTGGATCCTATGACAGGACGTGTGAATACATATGAGACTTCTAAAAAACATGAAGAATCACCTGTTGGTTGAAAGGAGTAGAGATCATAAAAACTAGTGGGTTACTGCAATATCTTATCCAGTATGACATGGAATTAAGGTTATATATTCCTGAAAATCAATGGATTACATAGCCTAAAAGATGTCCCTGTTTATGCAATAACTAGAAACATTCTGTGCAACTATTATTTACATAATAATACAGTGTGTGTATGAAGAACTATTACATACACTTAAACGTCGATGAGTTTAGGGAAAACTGTCAAATAGGTCCTCGAACTTTCATAAAAAGATCAAATAAGTCCTTATATAGGAGGCTCTGTCCGGCCATCGTGATTTGGTCCTCGTCCTTATTTATTAATGTATTAATTTATAACACATTAATAAATAAAACGTCATGAAAATAGAGTAGGTAAGTAGTGCAAAACTCATGAATATTGCAATTAAAGAAGAATAGTGGTAGTACAAATGTGGAGATCGGATTTTGCCGAATGCGAGAGAAGTTTACATACAATCTGATTTGGCGGAACTGATTAATCGAGGTTCCCCAAATTAAATTCAAATACTTGGTACGATGACACAATGTAACCCTGCATCATTTATGAACCACCACATTGACTGCATTTGTTGCCGCAATCTTTACCACCGCCAGTACTATCGCAACCATTGCATTTCCCTATTTCTGCTAAAATCACAAATTCATTCTGAGCCTTCAGCATCTCATTCCTCTCAGCAAAATTGTTGGATGGCCCTTTATTGTCATTAGGCCTGGACTCGGGCCGGGCGGCCCGACCCGGAACCGGCCCGGCCACTGTAGCAACCGGCCCGGCCCGGTGGCCCGGTCCACCGGCGGTTCGGGTCGAACCGGCCCGGTGGTTCCCGGTTCCGGGCCCGGGCCTTCCATATGGTGAACCGGCCCGGCCGGTTCGGGCCCGGTCCGGGCCGGATTTTAATTTTTTTTTTTTGAAAAATTTTTTAAGTCTTGGGTTGGAATAGGTATTTTGGGCCATTTGAGGTGGTTTGGGGTGGTTTGGGGTTGAGGGGGAGGGGATTAAATAGGAGAACCAAAAAAAAAAAAAAATTGGGCCGGTTTGGCCCGGCCCGGAACCGGAACCGGCCACCGGCGGTTCGGGCTCGGGCCTCCCCTTTCTTGGCCCGAGGCCCGGCCGGGCCCAGGCCCGAACCGGGCCCGAACCGGCCCGAGTCCAGCACTAATTGTCATCATACACTCCTTTCTTTTTGAGAATGTCGAAGAGTATAAAAGCAATTACCAGTACAGGCATAAGTAACCAATCCTCTTTCACCTATATTCAATTTTTTTAATAATATAAAGGGCGAGTGATCAATAAGCTATATATATACATACACACACGTACACACACAACTCCAATTATATATTAAGCCCAAAATGATAAAAAATTATTTACATTGACTGCACCAGAATTGAAGTCGATCATAGCCATTGCCTTGCCATATGGGTGTTCATCCGAGAACTCTATTGCGGTCATGAATTCGTTTTCAGTTTTTTCCTTCTCAGAATGCTTGAGGTGATAATCCATCTTCCAACCAGGGAAGTACTTAATCTGTATACGTAAATTATAAAATAAAATTAATTAATTAATTAAGTATTCAACACGTTTTCATTTTTTTTGTTGCCTTGCGGGCTCAGGGGAGACTAACTGGGGTGACCTGTTTACTATTGTGTAAGTCTATTCATCAGCTATGTTTAAGCCTAGTATGACCAGTTTAAGTCTTATTTGGTCTAGTCTCAGACTGAAATCAATCCAACTAAAATAATCCTAATTAATAAATTTTCCACAATAGAAACTTTTCTATAGAAGCCATTTAGACTGAAATTCACCATACGTTGTACCTTCTGATGAAAAAGTTTTTAGAATAAACAAAAGCATTAATTACCGAAGATGATACGGAGTATGAAAGTATGAAAAGCTATGGAATTAATATATAGTGGGCACATACCACTAAATATGCAAATATCTCTTTAATATTGTCAAGTTTTGGGTAAAACGCATTGATACAACTAGTAAAAAATGGTTGTACTAGTTTCGGCAAATTATAAAATATGACAAACTAACATCCTTCGTTTTAAAACATAAAAAAGAAGTTGTCCTAAATGTGAGGAAAAACAATTAAAATTTCTAAATATCAGTATTATATTTATCCCTAAATCAGGGTAATTACTACTACGTATTAACAAGGGATCAGATCAGAAGACCTACGTTAGAGCTATAGAGTGGGCTGAAGCAGCACAACTTAATTTGTTTGAATTGTATGTTTCAAATTTTTTGTTTTCATATTCAATCAACCCCGCTAATATTAAATTCTAGTATATATAATTAGTCTTCAATCCAGTTCAACTTAGATTTATGGATTCTCTCGTGATTGTTATGGTTTGATGATATTGTTATACTTCGTATATGCTAATGTGCCGGATAATGTCAAAATATGGCAGTATGATTGAGGATGGTAATTACGAGGTATAATTTAGTTTTATTTACAATTCAACCGTAGTTTTATTTATTTATTTAGGAAAATATCTTAAAATAAAATAAGCTACATCAATCATTATGAAACTTATGTATGCATGTCAAACATGAATAGTACTACTTACTTCACAAAAGTTAAGTATGTAATATTTTTTAAGTCCGTAGTATGGAGTCGTAATTATTCATGTGATAAAAACAAAGAGGCTATTAAATTGAATGCATATATGCTCACAGTTCGGGAAGCTCCAGTCATCTTCAAAAGGTGACCATCATCTTTCTCATCATCTGTGGCTTTTAGGAAACAAATAGACCACTCACAATTTACCAGTGACCACGAGTACGTATATCGTACACCCGGATGTACGGTGAGAACCGTACATCCGGTTTTGTTTTTTAAATTTTTTTTAAGCGTCAGTCCATTTTAATAACCCAGTTTGAATATAATTAAATGAATCTCACGGAAGGCCCATAAAAAGGCCCAATTAAAAGAAAGACAGTCCATTTAGTTAAAACAGCCTATTTTTTCGGTGGCAGTTTTGTAATTTCACCGAAAAATAATGGCTCCCGCTAAATGAGCAATATTGTAGTTTTGTTGAGCATCTCACATATTATATTGAGTATTATGAGGCTAATAATGAGTTTTATGATCCCTGCTTCATATCTTCTATTTTTTCTGCTATAAAAACTTACTCCGTATTAAATTATATCTAAAATTCACTCCTATTAATTTCAATATGTGAGTCTAATGTAATATGATACTTTTGAAATATGCTTTGATATGACATTTTAAAAATGAGCATAACATTAGTATCAAATGAGCATACATAACTAACAAAGTGCACGTTGATATGAAAATCGTAAGATTTGTTAGTTGAACATGACATTTTAAATGAGCATCAAACCTCAACTATTGAGATGAAAATCACGATTTCTGGAGAATGAGTAATAATGAACTTTTAATGAGCACCCTAACTATTTTGTTGAGTATTAGGAGTCTAATATTCAGAATCGTGATCTCTGCTTTACAAACTTCTAATTCACTTTCTTTTTGTTATTTTTTATCATAAGGTTTGTTAGTTAAATATCACGACATTTTAATTGAGCATCAAACATATGCTATTGAGATGAAAATCATAGTATCTTGTGAATGAGCAATAATGAACTTTTAATGAGCATCAAACCTATTATGTTGAGTATTAGGAGTCTATCATAAAATAATACTTTTAAAAAATGCATTGATATGACATTTAGAAAATGAGCATAAAATGAGTATCAGATGAGCATATGTAACTTACAACATGAGTATTAATGAATTTGTTAGTTGCTTTGTTGGTTAAACATCACAACATTTTCATTCAGTATCAAAACTTCTCTATTGATATTGATGAAAATCATCATGATTTCTATTAAATGAGCATTATTGAACTATTAATGAGCATTAGACCTATACAAATGAGCATGCGTAACTTACAAGATGAGTAGTTATATGAAAATTGTAATATTTTTTCGTTGTACGTGCAACAAGACATTTTTTGTGAGCATTAAATCTCCATTATTGAGTATTAGAATCTGCGATTGAGTATAATGATTTGTGGTCTCGTGTCTATAATCAACTCTTATATAAATCTAATGTAATATGAGACTTTTGAAATGTGCATTGCTAAAACATTTTAAAAATGAGCATAACAGAGATACTAAATGAACATACATAATTTACAAAATGAGTATTGAAAAATTCAAAAACTCATCAGTATGTTATAAAATGAGCATTAGTATGACAATCATAAGTTTTTTTTAGTTGAGCGAGCATCAAAACGTTTTCATTGAGCATCAAATCTCCTCTATTGATTATTAAAAACATGCAATTGAATATCATGGTATGTGCTCTCGTATATGTAATTAACTCCTACTTCAATCTAATTTAATACGGAGTATGTAACTCTTGAAATATGGATTGATATAACATTTTAAAATGATCATAACATCAGTACCAAATGAGCATACATAATTTACAAAAAGAAAATTGATATGGAAATCGTAAACTTTGTTAATTGAACATCAAAACATTTTCATTGAGCATCAAACTTTCTTTTATTGAATTACAAATATAATCGTGTTCTTTTTATAATTAATGTTTACTCATTCACATTTATTTGTACTCATTTTTGTATAAAACAAAATTGAGTAATTAAAACACAATACTCCGGATATAATAACTAATAAAGATATATAATTAAAATAAAAAATAGAAAAATAAAAAATAAATACCTAAAACATTTTATATTACACAAATAAAAAAAACTAAGTTAGAAAGTTGATTGGAAAAAGAGAAAATTTGGGACATTAAGTAATATTTTATATTATAGATTTTCAAAATAATTTAATTTGAAATTAAAACAAAAAATTGTTAAAGAAGAAAACAAAAACCTGAAAAGGAAGACCCAAAGAAAACAAAAAGTTGTTACCGAATAAAACAAAAAAAAAAGAAAACAAAGAACTGAAAAAAGAGTAAGCAACGAACGAACCTAATGCTAAGCAAAAACCGCCGGATGTACGTACCACCGGCGGTACGATATAATTTACCACCATTCTTTCCCTCTCAACTCAGCCAAAGGAAATATATATCCCCAAAATTTGTTAGAGCAATGACTTCCCCCTTTGAGATAGAATCTGACTTTCCCTTGGATAAATACTTGGATTCACTACATGTAATGAAAACAATATAAATATGTGTGTATAACAATTTAATTTCAATCATAGAGTGAACCCATGAATAATGAATTTGTATTCACAAATAGTAGTGAAGCAAAAAAATTAGTTAATACTCCGTACTACGTATTGTGTATTTTGTTTCGTTTTAAGTCTTTTTTATCTCATTGGAAAGATTACACCTCGTGTTTTGGAATTACTTTGTGCATCAATAAAAACACCATTTTTTTACCCCAAAGGGCGTCGGGGGGGGGGGGGGATTTGGGGGGCCTGGGGTAAACTGAGATCAATCTCACTTCATTGAGAATTGAACGTAACCCGAGACTATTTCCTCAATAAAAACACCATATTAGTACGTACTAATAAAGCAATAAATTAAAAGTATTTTATACTCCTTTAATGATTACTCATCAAATGAGCCTTATTTTAGAAACTGAACAATAATCATGCATGCATGCAGTGTACCTCATTTGGAGGTGGATGATCTGGTCACCACATTCGTCCACAACGCGGGTCCAATGTTGATTCTTGAGAGTATTGAAATGAAAAAGGGAAGAACTTTTAGATTTTGGTGGTCGTGGAGAAGCCGGAATCATGTGAAGCACATATGGTGTCTTAGTTGGCATGGAAACTGAGATTGAAATTCCCAAAAAGATGGGCTTTGAGATCATAGAACTATTTGAATCTGCAGTAACTACTGCTATTTGAAACCATTTCTCCATAGTCACAAGCTTATTATTATTATTAGAAAAAGAAGAAGAAGAAATTGCTGCTGATAACAACTCTCCTAAAGAGACAGAAAAGGAACCCATAGTCTTCTTCACATGAAGAGGTTCATGAGATAGTGGGAGAGTATTATTGCTAGAGCTCCATGGTTCACTCATAAGTTCAAAGATCAAATTCCCACTAGGTTCACATTGGAAGCAAGTTACCAGATATTCCCCACCATTGCTCATAGTTGTCATCGGCGATGGCGATGGCGATGGAATGTCAAGTCTTCCCTTTGCATGGAAGACTCGATCTGACCCTTCTTTACTGAATGCTACAAACAACCTCCTCCCCTCCTCCTTCTTCGGTACATTCTTTAAACCAACAAACTCCAACATTACCTACAATATATACGTTTTTAAATACTTATAAGTCCCAACTCCCAAGTATAAAATATCAAAAAAGAGTGACATGTTAAGGCTAGAGGTGAACTTATATAGTGCTTTATTACGTTATACCTCCAGAACCTCCGATCCTCGGTTTCGGGAAGACGTAATAATCCTATATCTGTAGTGCTGATGTTTTTGTTTAATGTAGTGTAATGGTGAGAGAGGTGGTCATGATAATCTTCAAGAGGTAACATTGAGTTGCGTCGGTACATCTTAGCATCTCTATAATATCTACGACCATATGTCCCTTCCCAAAGCTTTGTGGTCGTAGAGAACCCTATTTCCAACTTACTATGTTCTACTCTGTCATTGTGACCCGCGACCTTGCCAAGTAGTTTCATAAGGTCTTTGCAATAGGAAACAGGATGTAACTGATGAGTGTGCCATATCAGATCAATGTCTCGAGTTGGTACACAACAAAAGTTTTCTTCATTTCGTTTGATTAGATGCAAGAACCCTTTGTATCTATCCACGGCCCCTTTAAGGTAAAGTTCATTGTAAATTAGAGGTCTTGATACCTACATGGAGGAATGATTGATTGTAATGTAACAAATGTGCATATATGCATAGTGGCGGAACCAGCTCAGAGACACTGGAGGGGCACTTAATGGGAAAGCGAAGGTCTCCGAAAGTCCGGAAATATGTTGCATCCACCATCTAGAATATACTACATATTTTTTTTATTCTAAAATACAATATCTTGATAAGTAATTTGAGAAATCACAATTTTAATTACATACAAGATCAAATGAGATTTTTTATGAAACCAAAAAGCAAGAAATTAAAGCCATGCACTAGCATAGCAAAATTGTGATTCATACCCATGCACTAGAGAGCTTAATGGTACATCACCAAAATTTGAATATAGCTATTTAAAGCCATTTTAATTTAATTTTAAGCTTAAAAAACACACAAGTAAAGCAAAATATAAATATTATTAAGATGGGATTCGATCCCTGGGACCTTAGGTACAGTGGCGGAGCCAGAAATCTATGGTTGAAGGGGCCGGTCTTTAAAAATTTTACATTGCAGGGGCCAAAGTTTAAAATATCAACATATTTTCTATAGATTAAAAGTATTTATACATAATATATACTTAAGAATTTTTTTCTTACAGGGGCCGTGGCCCCCTCCAGCCCCTCCCTGTCTCCACCCCTGCTTAGGTAATCCAAAGACACGAATGCAATGCCTTCTCCACTCCACTGCATTGCCTTTTTGTTAACATAGTGGTTATTATTGTATAACACACATATTTTATAAATATTTACAATTTACAATTTCATATTTGATAAATATATATAATAAAAATAAAAACAACTGCAGGGGCTCAAGCCCCTCCGAGCCCCTTGCTAGTTCCGCCCCTGTATATGCATAAATACAAGGAGTATGGTTTTATTTTGGTACAATATCGATCTTTGGAACCACGTAAATCGAAATTGAACCAAAAGTGAGAAAAACCAAATCGTTTACCGAATTGTCGAACACCTAGAAGTACATATGTTTTCATCCTATAAAAGGATTCATCTAATTCTCGTTGAGGAAGTTTTATACTTTTCAAGTTTTCATAGAACAGGCCAAAATAAATTTTATCTTGAGAGTAAAACATAGGTACTTCTATTGTGCCCGTTTTCTATGTTTTACTCTTATTTGGAGCAGTTGTTTATCCAAAAGTGTCCTCACCTTCATGAAAAATGAGCTTTGCCTCTTCACCGCTGAAACCAAGTCATAGTCGTTGCTCATGCACTTTATGTGCTGAGCAGATGTTTGTGAAGGTTCATGGCAAGAAAGAGCTCTTCCTATCTCCAACTCAAACGGTTCACTGGGATATAATTGTTTCCACACTTTTTCTGTTTCCCCCTTAGACATTCCTTTAGTAGAAGAGGCCACATGATAGTTATCAAGAATAGTTCCATAAAGCATCTTGCAGTCGGAGATGTACCGTAGCTGCAAATTAAATGTGCAAATTAGTGGCAATACGCATTTAATAAGGAAAAGTAATAAATAATGGTTAGTTTACTTAAAATTAAATAAATGAGAATTCATTTTGGTAATAATAAAAGGTAGATTCTATGGTACCCTTAAGGTATCATACCTTTGTTCACATAGACCAATATGAATGATGCAGTTGAATTAATTAAATCTAAATTAAAAGAAATAGAATGATTTGGACCAATCAAATGCATGGTAGGTACGGTACCCCCAATTTTTAAAAGGGTACCGGAGTTGTCGCCATAATAAAATTGACCGTTATTATAAAGTTGTGTCTAAAATAGTTGAATTCATTGAATCTGAATGGTTGTGAAACAGTAGTGTTATTCAAAGGATTATTAGTTAAATATATCTCCAACTATTATCAAATTCACAAATCTATTACATACTTTCACTTTTATTAAAAAAAGACTTAAACTTCAACTTTTCTCACAATTACACTTTCAATGGATGAACTAGTAAAAAATAAGAAGAAAATCATATTCATATTTCATATTTTTCACTTTTTTTCTTATTTCAAATTTACAAATTTTATTGCTTATATCTAATTGGTAGTGATAAAAATGTGTAATTTTGAAAAAACAAAAAAGAAAAGCATAATTGTTGAAAAAGATGAAGTTTGAGTCTTTTTTTTTTTTTGATAAAAGTGAAAGAATAGGATATACTTGTGAATTTGATGATAGCTTGGGATAAAATAAGACAATAATCCTTATTCAAATGGTATTTTATTAATAATCAAGATAAAGAAAATTCTTAAAAATATGTGTACGGCAAAACTCAAATTTTCTTGTTCAGCCAGAAATTTAAAAATTTATTATACTTTTCTTCATTAACACATAAGATAAAAATGCTCCGTATTGTTTAGTAAAATGTGATTGTTATATACTCCCTCCGTCCCACTTAAATGTTCTCACTTTCTATTTTATTAAATAATTAAAACTCTTAAATGAAAATTTAATCATCAAATACTAAAAAAAAATACATTAATAAAATCACAGTTATCATCAATAATCCATTATACTACGTATTATATACTTATTAAAATTATTTCTCAAAATACACTCGAATTAGCATATTTAATCATTGTCTAAATAATTGTGTCACTTTGTCACGGGAACCTTTAAATGGGACTGAGGGGTATTTTTTTAAAAAAAATATAAGTTTATGTGATTCACTGGTTGGTATTGAAGCAAGTATGTAGCCAGTAGGCATAAAGTAAAGTAAGAACAATTAATTTATATCAAATTTCATACGTATAAGACAATTTAGAGACAGTTTGCGTGACCCCTTTCTTCGGATTATTAGGCTTATCCGCCACTTTTTTCACCAAACACGTAACTTTTTATTTCGCGCGCTGAATTGTGTAATAAGCAGAAAAAGTAAGGTTGAAGTTACTTTTCTGACTATATTGGCTGAAGTTACTGTAGAGAAACATTTTAGCCATTTTTCATATGATTTTTTATTTTATATATTAATAACAAATATTTTAAAAATAATTTTTTCATGAATCGGCAGAATCAACCTGTTAAGACACGGGGTTCCATCCTAAAAGGTCAACCTGATAGGAGGAGTAGCCCAAAGTCTTATATAGTGTTTAATTGTTTTGTAGCTTTCCGATATGGGACAAATGCTTCAACACGCCCCCTCAGCCCGAACCGGGCTGAACAATATCGGGGTGTATAAACGGGCCAAACAAACTCTTAACAAGCTACCCTTAATCATGGGTGCTAAACAAGCCGTCAAACCACAACTGGAATTGGCTCTGATATCATGTTAAGACACGGGGTTCCATCCTAAAAGGTCAACCTGATAGGAGGAATAGCCCAAAGTCTTATATAGTGTTTAATTGTTTTGTAGCTTTCCGGTGTTTAAGCAAAATCAGTCAATTCAGCCAATTTTGGTGTTACCAAACGGGCTCTTAATGTGTCAATCCGAAAATCAATGTTTGATGCGAATAAATTATACGACTAGAAACATACTGGATTGAGCCTGTGGCAATGCCAGACCCATTCACAATCAAGAGGAACAATCAGGGGGCCTTCAAAGAAGGGAGATTCAGAATGCTTTGCTAGCAATGGAAGCCAATAAGACTTGTATCTCAAATCAGCATGCTACAAGTTAATAAGGTGTATCGATCAACTTGTAATTTTAACTTGTAGATTTGACTATGAAGAACAAATCCAAGTAACTAACTAATAATAACGAAACATCAACATGCTCTTACATACTCAATACTCACAAGAAGGATATTGGTCATATTGGCTTCATATATAAAAAGTACGTGGAGATGATTTTATCTCATAAAATAAAATAGAGCCCTCTTTATAGAAGTAGAAGCATAAATTTAAACGGATTTTTTTGACCCTAGGGGAGTCAGGGGTTGGGGAGCCTGGGGTAAACTGGGATCAATAATCTCAATCTATTGAGAATTGAACCCGGGACCTCCCATAAGGGAGAATGAGTCGGCGACCAGCTGAGTTAGACCGCTTTCTCAATTTATACGCAATATATATATAAACATACCTAGTGATGGCCTTATCAAGACCGGGGCTTTCATACAGCCAACGGTTCCGGTCAACGACGCCCAGAAAATAGAGTTGTTGCTTGGCTGCAGCCACAAGGTCTAGGCTTACCACAATTTTTTGTGCCTCGTCCCACTCCAACCAACTGCTGTTCCATCTCCATTCTCTAGCTGATCAGCTTCTTCCACCTACATACGTACGAAAAGATTTCTACATGTATATATAGTTGGTGAAGGTATATGCTCGTATCTAACTAAAAAGCGGAAGCAAGACAAGCCTTGTTAGCTAGCCACTCATTTAGCCTTAATTGAATGACGATACGGAGTATGTAGTTAACAATCTAAATCTAAATCTAGTGTGCATATATGATATATGCGTAAATGTTTGGGTATGATCTATGAAAAAAATATGCCAAAATTTTAAATTTTGACCCACTTATGATAAAACTTTGGAGCAAATTTTTACAATAATATTACATTGTCATATATCTCAATGTCGTCATCAAAAACAATGTCACTTGACAGTCTCACAATGTCATTTTTAACATTGAAATTGACATTGTCATTATTACAATGTCAATATTAAATCATTTTCATTGTCATTTATACAATGCCATTTTTCAGAGTGTTGGTGTTGACATTGTCATTATTACAATGTCAATATTTAAATCATTAACATTGTCATTTTTACAGTGCCATTTTTTGAGAGTGTTGGTGTTGACATTGTCATTATCGTTATTTGACATTGTTACATTTTTCTTATATCAAAATACATTGTCAACAATGTGTTTTTCTACCAAAGCAATGTAACTTTTATAGGATTGCATTTTTTGATATTTTTTATTACAATGTCTTGTTACTTTTTATAGCATTGTCATTAAGACTAAAACAGAAGTCAGGGAAAAAAAAGTTGGTGTTGACATTTTCATTATCGTTATTTGACATTGTTACATTTTTCTTATATCAAAATACATTGTCAACAATGTGTTTTTCTACAAAAGCAATGTAACTTTTATAGGATTGCATTTTTGATATATTTTATTACAATGTCTTGTTACTTTTTATAGCATTGTCATTAACATTATTACAATGTCATTTTTATCGCATTAATGTTGTATTTACCATTATGTGACATTGTAACATTTTTAACAATGACAATGTAGGTATATTATGACAGTCATTGACAATGTTTAAAATATCATGACATTGTTTATTTTGATAATGTTTATAATGAAAATGTATTGTAAAATGTGATAATTTTTAAGACGTGACATACTTTTGACAATTAATTTGATGTCATTTTCCAAAATCTAGCAATAAACCCCGAAAAAAAATTAAAAACAATGTTATTAGTAATGAATCACGATGTAGTAAGATTAATTCTCTTATCATCAATGATTTTTTCATGTTTTCAATAATTAAAATGTTAGTGTTGAACAGCTGTAATTGTTTTTAATTTCAACCATGATACTCCGTATGATTCATCATCAGTAATGACAATATAAGGGTAGTAAATGACAAAAATGAATTAAACAAATAATAATTAATAAATAAATTTACATACAAATTAAACACACAATAAATTAAAAATAAGAAGCACTGTACTGCAAGAAGTTTGACGGATCGGAAACAAAAGTAAAGGAATCGATTAGCAAAAGAAAGAATGACGGATATAATAGTTATACACTTTCAAAAGACGGAACTACAGCTTAATTGAAATCTGGACAAATATATGAATGATTATAAATGAAGAGACAAAAATACCCCTGTTATATAATGGTACTGAAACCCTGAATCCCCAATGTACTCAGCTCTTCTTTCGGTCTCGCAGTCTGCTCGACTCTTTCCTCCAGATCTGCAGCCGCCGCCATGGTGCTATTTCCGTCTTCGCTTCCATCACCACCGGTTCCATCGCCGCATCCATCTCCGTCGTCTCGGTCGCCCCATCCATCGCCTCCATCTCTGCCATTACCTCCGCCTCTGCCATCGCCTCCGCCTCCCACCGATCAACTTCTTCATCTAAAGGTTGGGATGTAAGGCGACGGAAGGGCACGTGGCCAGGAGTATTGCGCGATTTGGATGAAGGTGGTTGCAGCGGTAAGCAGAAAGAGGAGGCCGTCGATAGGATCTGGGGTTGGGATGAACCGCCATGGTAGCGGCGGCGGTCACCGCATAGAGGTTTTTGTTTGACAGATGTTGGCGGATGCACTGGATCTGTTGCGGCAGTGGTGGCCAACAGGGCATTTGGGTTTGTTGGGGCCGGCGTCTTTTTTGGCGGTGGTTGACGGCGGTGATGTTCTGTCCATGGCGGTGGTTGGTTGTGATGGTGAAGGCAGTCAGCGGTGGTGTGTGGCGGTGGTTGGTTGTGATGGTGAAGGCAGTCAGCGGTGGTGTGTGACGGTGGTTGGTTGTGATGGAAAAGGCAGTCAACGGTGGTGTATGGTGTCACTGGTGTACAACGCTTCGGGTCAATATGTCTGGTCCATGGCCATAGGTCACTGGGGTTGGGTCATTGGTCGTTGGGTCACTGGATGCCGGGTCACTAGGGTTGGGGTCATTGGCCGTTGGGTCACTGGGTGGCGGGGCCACTAAGGGTGATGAGGTCACTGGTCGGCTGGCCCGCAGGTCACTGTGGCTTTGGCCGGCAGGTCAATGTGGTTGGCGGCAAGGTTGGTCACTGTGACCTACACCATTTCAATTTTTTGTCACTGGACAAAAGTCACTGCACATTTGGTCACTGTGATGCGGGTCATTGGGGACGTATTAATTTTTGGTCACTGGATGAATTTTGTAACTATGTCATTGGTAACTGTAACATTGGTCACTGTGACGGGTTACTGTAGCAGGCCAGTGGGTTTGGGCTTAGTAAGGGTGTAATAGTCCCTTAAGTATTATTTAGTCTTAGTTTTGGAACTTAAAAGAAAAGTCTCTTTTTTTGTCCAAATGCTTTTAATTAGTATTATTTGAGGACAAACCCCATCAAAAATGATGGAAAACACAATTCCAAGCCCGCAAAAACTGAAACATCGGCGGAAGAAAAGAAGAAAAACAGAAGAAACGTTGCAACAAGTTTGACTGAAACAAAAGGAAACAGATCTAGAGTACAGGCAAAATGGACGGAAATAATATTTTAAAGCCGGCAAAAATTGAAAGGAGATCAGTGAAAGAAAAGAAGAAAAGAACAGAGCCGGCAGTAAAATCGACGGAAACAAATTCTATGCGGGCAAAAATTGAAAGGAGATCGGAGGAAGAAAACAGCCGAGATGGTGAATGAAAAGAATAGACCCCGGAGACTACTTCACCAACCAGCGGCAGGCCACTCCGGCGATGAGCTGCGGCAGAGCGGAAGTGAAATCTGCATATCTCCAACGAGAGGGATTACTGCAGCCGTTCTCCAGTGGCCTTCTTTGATGGCAAAACATGAATATAATGAATGTTCGTGTCCGTCGCCGCTATGGATTTGGATCCTCTGCCGCACGGTAGAGGTGCCTTGCGGCAATCCAACAGCAAGCAACAAAGAAGAAGAGAGCTGCACGGTAGTGAAGAGTGAATCGCGTGGCTGTAATAGCCCCGCACTGCCAAAGCCAGGCAGAGAATCCCGATCCTGCTGCTATACTAGTACTGAGGGCACTTTTGTCCTTCTGTCCAAAATTAGTGCTATTTGGGTATTAAAAACTAGAGAATCCTATTTAAGTTCCAACCATTACTTTTGATCCTATTTAAGTCTTCCTCCCAAAAAACTTTAACTTCAATATATTCCCATCCGTGGGTGCAATTGTAACTTTCTTAATGAACTGTACTAATTAACTCGACTACATAGCTGATGATGAGTGGATATATCATGGAGTATCAATGAAAAAATTCATTTTCTAGGTAGTTTTTTTTTTGCCATTTGTTAGCGAGGAGCAAGATAGGAATTCAGCTAAGCTGAGATCGATGAAAACATTAGTACATTACATGATAACAGGGAAACTTACTTATGGGCTAGCGGAAATACTACGTATATACTATCTATAATGTTGACGTACAAATGATCGAGTACGTATTCCTTGCTACTTTGCTAGGAAGCCAGGAAGCTAGACAGCTAGTAGTATTTGTTATGTTGCGCTATGCAAATTACATGAGATCGACGTGCATGGTATTTATAGCACTGGAATTTAAGAGACTCAGTAGGGCATTTTTCGCTCAACAATGCTTGATGTACCCACTCTTATACTCACCATATACCCACCATGTTTGTGGAGGTATTTTTTTGTCTGTGAACCCGGTTCATAGACAATATTTTGTTTGTGCAAAATATTGTCTGTGAGCTGGAGTTCACAGACAAAAAAAAAACACCTCACAAACATAGGTGGGTACAAAAGTGGGTATAAGAGTGGGTACAAAGATCATTTTTGTTTTTCGCTTGGATAATTGAGTACGGCAAACATATGTATATACAAATCAATTTTATTAAGGTAGATTCTATGGTACCCATAGATGGGAAAAGCCGTAAATGATGGGAAAATCCGTAAATGGTATTTTCACTCAACAACGCAGCTTTTTGAATTGATATTTTGATGTGAAAAAGTCAAAAATGAAAAAACCAACATACCTCCCCAATTTTTACTTTATTCATTAATTATTTAATAAGAATTCGAAAATAAAAATATTAATTGAAAACGCATATACAATTGTGACCGATCCGATAGATACCCGCACTGAACCGCCCCAATCAAAACGGGAGAAATTGCATTGATCAGGTAATGGGTACGGGGCAGAGAATACCATTTCGTTTATTTTACGGGTAACATGGCGGTTATGGATTTATACATGCCCGCCCCATACCCGCCTGTTTATTTTTTATTATATTTTTATTACATTTTTATCTATTATTTGTCCACAAGTAATAAAAGATTAGATATTTTTGTTTTCATTGTGTATATATATGGATAACATATGTACTAACTAACTATATTGTATGAATGAATGTTGAAAATGTATTTTAATAGTCTTGTTTGATTATTATTGGATTTTTTTGTGATAATTAACTAATTTTCACATTAAGTTTTTTTAAGTCCAAATTAATTAGATTGTCTTTTTTCTCTTCTTGTAGATATACAAAACTTTTAAGTGGCGTCTAATGTCTAGAATCATCTAGGTGTTGTCATTTTTGCCTTTGTCAAATATTTTTATATATTTAAATTAAATATCAATGACTCATTTAATAAAGTGGTTACCCGCGGTTATACCCGGTACTCGTTAGGGCGGTTATGATTTGAGTAAAAATTACTCTTTGAGCAATGTGGCGGTTACGGGGCGAGGAAGTTATCCAACGGGGTGGGTATGGTTATATGCAAAATCATCCCTGATCCATCCTGTTGTCATCCCTAAGGATAAAGAAATCATTATCATCATTTGGAAATCCTACATTCCACCTAAAATCTCTTTTAATGTTTGGTTGGCACTACGAAATAGGCTACCCACTCAGGATAGCCTCGGGTACCTCCATATTGTGAATCGTTGTGACCTATGCAAAGGTGGATTGGAAACAATTCCACACCTATTTTTTGTTTGCCCATTCACGTGTACGGTGTGGGAGAGGATCAAAAGCTGGATGGGATTTGGGCATCAAATGAATACACTGCTTAGTGCGATCAAGTCGATTTCGAAGAGCCGCAAAGGAGCAAACTTGAAGGCAAAGGCAGCCCGATTAGCCTTCTGTGCCGCGACATACTATATATGGCATGCGAGGAACTCTATTAGATTTGATGAAGGAAAAAATTCAGAAGATGATGTTGTTGCAAAGGTCAAGCATATGGTTTACAAGATACTCTATAGTATCTTCCCATATGAGATGATCAACTTCTGAGAAGATTCAAGTTTTTTTGAATGCCACGGCATTAGACAGTTTGTATTCGAGTGCGTGCACCTTGTAGCATTGGTCATAGACTTAGATTTTTTTGGGCTGCATGTATTGGCTATTTTGGAATTAGACTAGACTAAAAGCCTCCCCTAACCCTCTACTTTTTTTTGGATGAAATGTAAGTATATATTAACACCCAAGAAAATAACAATTTAATGTTACAAGCAAAGTGCATATCCCCATATATAGGATACCACAAAATCAAAACATTCCCTCCTCCCAAGTCAACATTTTGAACCCAAATGCATTAGGAGCAAAATAAAATTCACACAAAAATCAAGCTACCACAACAGAATATTAGGAGTCCCTAATTTAAAGTCCAAAGAAAGCTCGGAAAGGAGAGGTGAACTTTGAGTCGAAACAAACTTCACCTTTTTTCTTAGTAACTCCCGGCATCCCCTCGAGACATTTGGCGGTGAAAGTAAGGCCTTTCCTATCCAAATCATCTGTAAGTCGAAGGGAGGTATCCAATCTAATCACACTCGCGTGCACGAACTTAAATGGTTTGACCGCTAGCTTGAGTGTCTTACCGTTTATGACCGCACATTTGATGACAACGTCATTTAGCTTCAAATCTTTTTCGTCCATCACAATCCTTTCGGTATCTACCAAACCGGTCTCGAAATCCTTATCAACATATTTAGACAGCCCCTCGGTTTGCGGATTCTTTTTCAAGGCAGCAGCCATTTTGTCGCTGGCAGACCCCTAGGAAGTAGGCCCGGTCGGGTCAGTCATACCCCCGGGCGGGTGAGGGGCAGTTTGGAGCTCCTGGGCAGTGGCAGTAGCTGTCTGGGAAAGAGACCCGGTCGGATCAGGGGCTAACCCGGTCGGGTTAGACCTCTGGGCAGCAGTAGTTTGTGGCTTTGCGGCCACCTTCCCTATTTTTTTATTTTCCTCAATGCACTTTTCCTTCTCTCTTTCTCCATCGTCCCTTTTGGCAAACTTCTTACAGATAAATGGGTGGTGCCCAAATTCTTTGCAATGAAAGCAAAAGTTAGGAAAAGTTTCATAAAGCACACTTTGTTTGATTACCTTTCGGGAAGGTAGTCGTATAGGAAAATGAAGTGGTGGTGGCTTTGAAACATCAACTTCTATTAAAACTCTAGCATAATCATTGTTTGCCCTCTCCTGAGTGATCTTGTCCGTGGTTATTGGAACCCCGAGCATAGATGCCACCTCACTCATAGCCTCATCGTTCCATAAACTCATTGGTAGTTTAGGGAACTTGACCCAAATTGGTATTTTTAGGAATTCTTCATCCTCAAAAGTGAAATCCTCCGAAAGTTCTTTAAGCATTAGGAGTTTACCAAACACGGTGTAAGGTCCCTCAAGTAGTACCTTGGATCTATCCTCTTCATTTTGAAATTTAAAAATTATCCAACCTTTATTATGAGACCTTACAAGGCATCTTACTCCCCATTCAGCTCTCAAATCATGGACCGCTTTGAGTCCGGGGAATCTTCCCGTGAAGTGTCCAACTAGACAGTGTCCCCACATTTCAACCATCGAGGGTAGTACTCGGTCCCCAAAGTCCAGTGTTTCACCTTTCGGTGGAACATATTTCAACTTAATCCCATTTTTTTTTATCATGGTTGTCTTTAAACAAGGAGTTCCAGGGTGTCTCCTTTGCATCTTTTTTTCTGCAGCAGTTGGTTGAGAACCAAATACTGCCTCAACAGCTCCAACAAGTGTAGTTTCACTTGCAGCAGGTGAAATTGAGCTCCCTGCAGCAGTTGCTCCAGCAGTAGTCACAACCTGCACAGCCACAGTTTTTTTCCTATCCTCCAGGAGCTTTCCATCAGCAGCTGGCTTAGATTTTTTCCCACTCTGCATCCCAGCTGACTTCGGTAAAGCAGTGAGCTGGTCATTAGTATCCTGCAAGTCAACGGCTAAGAGTGCAGACTCCTCAGGATCAATCCCAGAACTTGGCCCCAACGTCTGCTTCCCCGATTTCCCAGCTTGAAGGGTAGGGAAATTTGCATCCAGCCCTTACAAAACGTTGAATCCAGCAGATGTTCTAGACCTGGTGCTCACGGAGGGTGTTTGTACGCCCTTTCCCTGCTTTTTTCCTGCCATAACAAGTGCAGACCAGTTTCCCCCAAATTCGCGGAACAGATTATACAGCGATTTCCGAAAATAGCAAGGAGCCGTTGGAGAAGATGACCAGCAACGAGTACAGTGCGCGAAGAGCCTCTTACGCGAGGGAGAGTTCAGCTCTCAACTTCACAACAACCCATTGCAACAACCTATTGCAACTCGAAAATAACCCTCTCCTTTTCTCACGAAATAGGAGGGGGTGGGGGTTTTAGGCTTTAGATTTTTGGACACATTGTACTTGTTAAATTTTGCTTGGGTGTTAATATATATTTACATTTCATCCAAAAAAAAATCATTATCAAATATAGTTGCTAGTTTGCTACCGAGTTTATACTGTAATATGTAATATTGTTCGATCAGAAACTAGTAAAATATATAGATGTATATAAAATATTAATACTAAAAACAAACAAATACAGAGTATATGCATACGTATAGTATGCGCATGCGTATGCGTGTATATAAGCCCCAAGCCGACATCTATGATTTATTCATACTACTTTTAGACTTTTAAAACTATGATTCATATATACTAGAAGTCTTCATCCAAAAAACAAAATATACTAGAAGTGAGGGGCGGATCTACCTGAGGGCCTAGGCGCGACCTCAAAAATAAAAAATTTACTAGTATGTGTGTGTGTGTGTATATATATATATATATATATATATATATATATATATATATATATATATATATATATATATATATATATATATAGTAATCTTCCGGTCAGGAATTTCCTGACCGGAGTGCCGTCCGGCCTCCTCCTTTGGGGGCTGTCAGGAATTTACTAGTACATATTCCGGACCAGTTAACTTCCAAAAATCATTTGA